TAAACAAAAGTGTAAGAAAAGGGGCGAAATAGAGACAGTGTGTGTGAGAGAGAGAGAGAGAGAGAGAGAAAAAAAGAGGGAGGATAAAGAGAGAGAAAAATAGAAAACGTGATAGAAAAAAGAGACAAAAAGCGAGAGGAAAAAGAAAGAAAAGTGACAGAAAAGAGAGATTAAAAAAGAACGGAAAAATAGTGATAAAATTAGAGAGAGAAATAAGGCAGAGACTGACAGAGAGATAAAGAGAAACATGAGAGGGTGGGATAGAGAGAAAATATAAAAAGAGATAGAGAGGGAGAGAAAAAGAGAGAAAATAGAGAAAAAAGAGCAAAATAGAGAGAGAGAGAGTGAAAGAGAGAATAAGTGGGAGGAAAAACGAGAGATGAAAATATAGAGAGAAAAGATACAAAAGTGAGAGAAGAAGGCGGAAGACAAAGAGAAAATAAAGAGTGAGCGAGAGAGAGAGAGAGAGAAAGAAAAAAGAAGAACAGAAAAGCATTAAAGAATAAAGAGAGAGCGAGAAAATGGATACAGAGAGAGGGAAATGGGAGAGATAGAAATGAGAGAGAGAAAAATGAGATCTTGAGAGAGAAAGAGAAATATAGAAAGATAAATAGTAAGTAAAAAAAAGGAAAATAGAGACAGTGAAAGGGAGAGTAAAAGTGGGAGGAAAAAAGAGAGAAAAATACAGAGAGAAAATAGAAAAAAGTGAGAGAAAAAAAGGAAAGACAAAAAGAAAGTAAAGAGTGAAAGAGAGAGAAAAGAAATAAAAAAGAACAAAAAACACTAAAGAGAGAGAGAGAGAGAGAGAGAGAGAGAGAGAGAGAGAGAGAGATAGAAAATGGAGGGAAATGAGAGAAAGAAAATAAAAGACAAAGAGAAAGACAAAGAGAAAATAAAGAGTGTAAGAGAGAAGAGAAATGAAAATGAAAAACCGAAAAAAAAAATAAAAAAAAAATAATGAAAAAGTGAGAGAATAAAGAGAGAAAGAAAAAAGAGAGAGAGAGAGAAAATGAGAGCGTTAGAGAGAAAGATAAATAGAGAGATATATAGAGTAAGAAAAAAGAGCAAAATTTAGACAGTGAAAAAGAGAGAAAAAGGGGGAGGAAAAAGAGAGAAAAGATAGAGAGAGAAATAAGCAAAAATAAGAGAAAAAAAGAAAGACAAAAAGAAAGTCAAGAATGAAAGAGAGAGAAATAAAAAAAGAACGCAAAAACAGTAAAGAATAAAGGGATAGAGATAGAGAGCGAAAAAAAGAGAGAGTGAGGGAAATGAGAGAGACACAGAGAGAGAGAGAGAAATGAGAGAGACAGAGAATATGAGAGTGTGAGAGAGAAAGAATAATATAGAGAGATAAAAAAAAAGTAAAAAAGCAAAATAGAGATAGAGAAAGAGAGAAAAAGTGGGAGGAAAAACGAGAGAGATGAAAATATAGAGAGAAAATAGAGAGAAGTGAGCGGCAAAAGCGAAAGACAAAGAGAAAATAAAGAGAGGGAGAGGTGGGGAGAAATAAAAAAGAAGAACGCAAAAGCATAAAGAGGGAGCGAGAAAATGGACAGATAGAGAGAGGGAAATGGGAGAGTTAGAAATGAGAGAGAGAAAAATGAGATCGTGAGAGAGAATGAGAAATATAGAAAGATAAAGAGTAAGTAAAAAAAAAGGAAAATAGAGACAGTGAAAGGGAGAGTAAAAGTGGAGGAAAAAAGAGAGAAAAATACAGAGAGAAAATAGAAAAAAGTGAGAGAAAAAAAGGAAAGACAAAAAGAAAGTAGAGTGAGTGAGAGAGAGAGAGAGAGAGATGCGAAATAAAAAAGAACACAAAACACTAAAGAATAAAGAAAGAGAGAGAGAGAGCGAGAAAATGGAAGTGTGAGAGAGAAATAGATATATAGAGAGATAAAGAGTAAGAAAAAAGAGCAAAAAAGAGAGAGTGAAAGAGAGAGAAAGTGGGAGGAAAAAAGAAAGAGAAAAAAGAAAAAAAAATGGGAGAAAATAGCGAAAGATAAAGAGAAAATAAAGAGTGAGAGAGAGAGAGAGGGAAATGGGAGAGAGAGAAATGAGAGTGTGAGAGAGAAAGAGAAATAGACAGAGATATAGAGTAAGAAAAAAAGAGCAAAATAGAGAGACAGTGAAAAGGGAGAGAAAAAGCGGGAGGAAAAAACAGAGAGAAAAATACAGAGAAAAAATAGACAAAAGTGAGAGAAAAAAGCGAACGACATTGAGAAAGTAAAGAGAGAGAGAGAGAGAGAGAGAGAGAGAGAGAGAGGGAGGGAGAGAGAGATGCGAAATAAAAAAAGAAAGGACGCAAAAACAGTAAAGAATGAAGAGATAGATAGATAGATAGATAGATAGATAGATAGATAGATAGATAGATAGATAGATAGAGAGAGAGAGAGAGAGCTACAAAATGGAGGGAGAGAAAAATGAGATAGACAAAGAGAGAGAGAGAGAGAGAGTGGGGGAAGAGAGAAATGAGAGAGAGCGTGTAAGAGAAAGTATCCATAAATAGTCAGAAGTAACTGAACAGAAAATCAAGTTAGACGTGTGTCGACGATGAGAAAGTGTCTCAATAGAAATTGAAAAATTATTTCCTAAGGTTTTTAACCTTAAGCGCAAATAACGTAAATAGAATGTCAAATAAAGAGAAGAAAGAGAGAGAAAGAGAGAGAGAGAGAGAGAGAGAGAAAACAAAAAAAAAAAAAAAAAGTGCAAAAAGCTATCAATAACGCGGAAATTGTTTAAAGTTTTCTTTTTCTTTTGTATTTCTCTGGTAATTGTGAAAAGTCGTCGTCGCTCGCAGTCACTTTCTATTCGGCCAGCTCCATTCATTCGTATTTTGTTCTTAGTGTCCGTAATGTCCCAATTTGTATGTTAAATATCGAATTAGTTCCAATCAATTGACATATGTGTGCCTGCATATGTATATCCAGGTCGAAAATCAATCTTACACACACACAAACACCTATGTGATCCCCTACACACAGACACAAACACACAAACTATGCATACATACGCGTTTACGCTCACAAGATCAAAGATAAAAATATACATACAAGTACATAATACAATTATACTTATAGGCCAATCTATACGCAATTACACGCCCTACATACATACATATATATATATATATATATAAATTCATTCACACACATGCACACACACAAACACACGCACACACATACACACACATATATATATATATATGATAAAATATATTTCTGGTTAAAAGTGACTCAATATCAGGGATAGAGCATATGTAAATATAAAAGGGGACACCATACTTATATATATATAGATATGTATATTCTTATTGTTATTTTATTATAATATATTAAAACAAAAAAATGCTGAAATCGCTAGACAATAGCTTTCATGTTTCGGCATTACGTTGTACCTCTTCAGGCCAGTAACTGCTCATTAAATAATTTGTATATATATATTAAATCAGCTTAATACTACCCTCCAAAAGTGTAAGTTTAAATTCATTTTTTCATCCTTGAAAGTGAGGTCTGATGATCCAGGGAAAAAGAAACTCCCCGGGGAAATAAATTATAACCTTTGAACCTTAAAGCTGTCTTTATATATATATATATATATATATAATATATATATATAAAAGCAACTATGCAGTTTTAATTTTTAATTTTTTTTATTTCAGCAAATTTATATTTACAAGCAATCGATACCCTATTTTGTGACCAAAGTGTAAGTTTAAATTCATTTTTTCATCCTTGACATCCTTGAGAGTGAGGTCTGATGATCCAGGAAAAAAAAACTCCTGGGGAAATAAATTATAACCTTGGAACCTTAAAGCTGTCTGTATATATATATATATATATATATATATATATATATATATATATATAAAGAGTAACTATGCAGTTTTAATTTTTTTTTTTTATTTCAGCAAGTTTATATTTACAAGCAATCGATACCCTTTTTGTGACTACTTCTACGATAAATATCACAAATGTTTATATATATATATATATATATATATATATATATATATATATATATATATATATATATATATATATATATATATATATATATATTGAGTCCTTGCACTCAGCGGAAACGGCTGAGCAATAACTGAGCAGTAATAAATAAAAATAAGAACTAAACGAGATATCCCTAGACATGTGCAGTCGAACGAAAATAGCCTACCCCCGTAGATTAAATAAAGGGTTCAATTCATAAAGGTTATGATGACAATAACAAAGATGAGGACAACACTACAAGTATATAGCGTAAATAATGTGTGTATATATATATATATATATATATATATATATATATATATATATATATATATATATTATATTTCAGTTGAGCACTGTTGAGAGATAAGCTAATTCTATAAACAACAGCCACCTGAGCTAATGCAAAGCTCTTCAGTAAAATGAATTGGAGCCCCTGAATGGCTTATTCGGTCTAGGGTACGCCGCATCTAACGATGTTTTCTTCTGGAAAGCGGTACGCTGGTTCGAATCCTTCCGAGAACGCATGTTTTTCCTTTAATAATATTTCTCAAATATTCAGGCTGGTAGAAGAAAATAACTAAAGATACTGTTTAATAAATAAACGGAACGTCTATTCAAATGTGTGTAGCCACTAAAAATAACGTTTAAGTGATATATATATATATATATATATATATATATATATATATATATATATATATATATATATATATATATATATATATATATATATATAAAGTGATATATATATATATATTAACAAGCCATTATCTGCACCAGTTAGCAACAGATTGTAATTTATTTTTGGGATCAGCTGCCAATTTCACATCATGGAACGGATCAGATTTATCAATTAAGACAGAATTAAATAATTGTGTCATCAGCTTAGATACGGAGTGACTGATGAAAATTAGGAACAATGTCGGTCCAAGGATATAAGCGTTGGTGGTGGGGTGGGGTGACACACGGATTGTTCTAAAAAGATCTACAAGAGTGGTCGTCCCAGGCAACTTTCATTTTACTATTTGATAAGAAATATTGAATCAGATCAAAAATTCGCCAAGAAATATCGTAACCTTTGAACTTGTGAAGTAGACCAAAATGCCAAACCCTATCAAACGTCTTCGTGATATCCAATGCACCCCCCTGCTTCACGATTCTTATCTAAAGCTTGATAGACTCTTTGAGCAATAACCATTAATACGTCATCAGTTGGTCGAGAGAAGCGAAAGCCATATTGCTTGCCTGGAAGAAGACGAGGTGAGATCCTTAACGTATTGATTAGAGCCACTAGTAATTTACCAAAAACAGGTAGAAGATTAATCAGATGGTTCGCTGGAGTTCCTTAAAGACAGGACTATAGAAGTAGTTTCAGTTTTACCTAAGTGTGTAAATGCAAAAGTAAACAAAAATTTCTAGACCGCAATTTCAACTCGTCCTGTAAATTTTATTTCCTGCACCGATATTCATTACACTACCTACGCATTTTAGAATCGTGGCAATTGTTTCATTTTATTTCATTTATTAAAATCTATTGTGTCACAAAAATGAATTAAACGTCGGTGAAAAGGAACATGTATACTTTATCCGTAAGTGTAAACTGAATCAACATAAAAGCTACTCTAATCGGCTAAGTTACAGGACACTAAGATGATGCAGCAGACAAACTTTTTTTTTAACCTATCTTAATTTGAAAATGATGTCGATTTAGTCCTTAACTCTTCGAAGACGTCCTAAATTCTTTTCGAAGTGTGTCTCTTTTGTACAAAAATGGGTCAAAGTGAACAATGATGTCTGTAACGGCTAGAAAACGCCTAGTAGTGACAATGTCACTACGTCGTATGAGATACTGGTGACAAGTGAGGGGAAAGGACAATAAAAGTACAGGTCTCGGATGGGTTGTTTTTGTTTAGCGGCATGTCAACACCTCTATGGGTTACATAATGCTGAAATCTAAGTATTACGTACGTAATTATTTTAGCGATAATAACAGTTTTTGTTGTACAAAATTTACTAATTAACCCATAACTGGGGGAGAATGGGTATATTCATACCTTTCTCAAGAGTATTTGCGCTTAAGTTAATATAACGAACCTGACGAGAATTGGATCTCTGTTCTCCGATTAACAATTCTCAGACATTATCCATTACACCACCCGCACATCCAAGTTTACAGCACCTGCTATTCCCAAGCGGTCACTCGTCTAGGCGCCACGATTGGCATTGCTTAACTTCGGTGAAATTACGGGAGTCGATGTTTCAACGTGACCGTAAGCTTTCGGCATTAAGTAACGCATATATGTTGGTAAGTAAACACAGATGCAGTATAAATCACATTTTGGCTCTCTGGATGATGAAGAAGCACAAATGTGCCTGAGCAGGCTTCTGCAATAGGGATTAGGTATCTCCCCGAGCAGATTGGTGTGATCAGAAACGAGCAACCAGCCATTAATTTAGGATATTAGATTTTGTAGTAAAATGAAATAATCCCTATTATAAATCTTATTGCTCCCTTAGTGCCTTAGTTCGCACGATCATTACGCCCGGCCAATACCTCTGAAATAATGAACCGTTCCATTTTTAGCTGCATGAAAACATAGATCTGACATATCACAGATGCTATTTGGTTTCAGTGAGAAAATAAATGAAAGATAGATGATTAGTTGTTTTTTTTTTAATTATAATGGTTCTAGTGGTACAGTTCTTACAAATCAACCCTCAGCTTGTGGGAAGAAGTAGATTCTTTCCCAAGGGTATTTTCGCATAAGTCGATATAACGAACCTAACAGGAATTGGAACTTGGCTCTCCGATTAACAATTCCCAGCTATTATTCATTTAACCACCCTCACATCCAAGTTTACAGCAAAAATCCTTTACCGCGATGTTTCCAAAGGCGAAAATTCCTGGGGCGAGTTTTCCTACGGCAAAAAGGTTTGCGGCTAATGTTCCGGATACGAATCCACTAATTATTGTAGCAAGAATATTGCAAGCCTATCACAAAATGAATAATTAGATTGTGGATACTGCTCGATCGTATCCAAATATGCCTGTCTGCAAGGATGGCTACCCAAACTCTGTTCAATACCAGCAGAGCCTACCTGTGTTTTATACTGCAACTATGCTGTACGGACCTTAGTCACAATTTCTGGTTGTGTTCAACAGTCTGAACAAGGTTAGCACACTCAAACCCTCGCTCACGATGACTTGTGACTTCGTGCTAGCACAGCCATCGACAGCTCGCAAAGAGTTCCGTCTAACCAATTTCACTCATAAAACTTGGATCAACCTATGGTAGCCTCTTTCAGGAACTTTCCATCCTGATTAATCGACCGTGATGAGATTCGAACCCGGGTCTCCAGACCGCAAAGCGAAGCTTCTAAAAATAGGCCACTCGCACTTATATTTAATTATACTATAAATCCCTCAATATAAACCTCGATTGCCATTTAATATAGAAGTTTCCTGAATGAGGTATGTGTCATGAGTTGGAGAGATAAAGATTGACCTTTGACT